TACAGTTGGAAATTTGCACCAAAAAAAAAAAGGTACAGTTGGAAATACCCAAAAACAAAAAAAAATGGGGGATAGTATGACGTTACAATGCTAAACAGGAAAGGGTATGGAAGGAAATTCACATTCATCTAAGGCATCACTCCGAGCCACCCGAGGCTCGCCCGCGGATTCCACAGATTGACCGAAAATCCCAATAAAACGCTGCGTCTCTCCTTCCGGTGAAGCAACTGCGTTTCTCTTTCTCCAAAACTACGCTGATTTCCGGATCGCCGACCGTCGAATTTCCTATTAACGATTACCATCCACCGGACACCGGCGTCCTTGATGCGTGGCCATGATTGGATCAACACTTGTCTCCCGGACGAGCTGATCGAGGAGATCTTCCAACGGGTGGACTCCAAGTCCGACCGCGATGCCTGCTCCCTGGTTTGTAAGCGGTGGCTGGGTCTCGAGCGGCTTAGCCGCACTACCCTCCGCATCGGCGCCTCCAGCTGCCCAGACCTGTTCGTCAATCTCTTGGCGAGTCGCTTCCCCAACGTAAAAACCGTCCATATTGATGAGAGATTAGCTATTTCTCTCCCTGTTCACCTGGTAAGCCCCTCAATTTCATGACACCGAATTGCACAGCTATGTTGGTTTGTTGAATTTCGTCGATATGAGAACTTTTCATTTTTTGTGAATTTTTATTCGGATATAATGAATTGGATGGTTCTTTTGTATTCTGTATTGGAAATGGTTGTTCCATTGGTTAATTATTGAAATTCAGCTTTTAGGAACCCTTTTTTTTCTTTTTGGTGTGTTGTTGATATGCTGTGGAAGATGGAGAGGTTATCTCCATTATAGTTTTACGTTTAAAATTTGTTGGATGTTAATTCTAATATTTTATGTTGACTGAATGTGTTAAAATATGAAGGAGGAAAGTTATTTCAGGAACGAAGAAAAGCAAGGAAAATTTATAGTATTTGGATGGTGTGGCTACTTTGTATAATACTACAATTGGTTGATCATTAGGCATTGCTTACAAGATCACAACTGGTGATGTGTTATCCATTCACCAAAGGGATTCTCTTTCCTATAGCAGTAATGGGTATTTGATGAATTCCAGTATTGCATTACCTTTAAATTGAAATTGCTTATTTGCTTTCTCTCGTTTTGAAACATGTTTCTTTTGGTGAAACCATTGCAACTTGGTTTCATTTAGTGCATGTAGATTCCTTTATGTAAACATGTTAGTGATGCAGTTAACAATGTTCTGCAGGGAAAAAGACGTGGCAGAGACAAGACTAAACTGACACCCCGCAGGCTTCACTATTCAGATGAGAAAAGTGAAGAAGGTGATTTTGAATCAGTCTCTTTGACAGATAATGGGCTGACAGCACTTGCTGATGAATTTGTGAAACTTGAAAAATTGAGCTTGATATGGTGCTCTGACATATCAAGTTTCGGTTTGACATCCTTTGCACAGAAATGTGCTTCCTTGAGATCTTTGGACCTGCAGGTAACTTTTCCTGTTCCTGCACTTGCTATTGGATTACATCTCAAATTTGCTGATTTTCTTAAAATAATGTTGCTCAAGTTGGTTATTTTCCATGTCAATATACAGTCCTTGTATGTCCATTCTTTAGCTGTTCTCTTGTTTCTCATGGTTCCTGAGTGAAAAGTGTGTCATCCTTTAGAGTTATTCAGATTAGATCCGGATTAATATGTCCTAAGTGGCTTTGGGTAGTGCTTTTCACATTAGTGCTTCCTTTGTCATCTGTGTTAATTGTTATGAAATCCTAGATACGGTTGCTTTCTTGGAAGTGTGGGTAAACTGGATGCAGACAAATATTTCTATAATATGAGGCAATCAGTTATTCTCAGGATTTCTAGCTTAGGAAGTCAGATTGTAGAACTTCTGGCCTTATATGCTTATGTTTGGATGTGCAAGCACACATTGGAATTATCTAACCTATGTTCAGCTTTTTTCTCTCACCAAATTAGTCAACCATCCTTTATGGCTTTTGATGCGTCTTGTTTCTGTGCATTATAGAATCTACTGATATTGACCTATTTTCTCTTAAAAATTTTCCCAGGGTTGCTATATTGGAGATCAGGGTCTTGCAGCTGTTGGAAAATGTTGTCAGCAACTTCAAGACTTAAATCTCCGCTTTTGTGAAGGCTTGAGTGACAGGGGATTGATTGATTTAGCCATTGGTTGTGGGGAATCACTCAAATCTCTTGGGGTGGCTGCATGTGCAAAAATAACTGATATTTCACTAGAAGCAGTTGGGTCTAACTGCAAATTTCTTGAGACCTTGTCATTGGATTCAGAATATATCCACAATAAAGGGGTCATGGCTGTTGCCCAAGGATGTAATCTCTTGAAAGTTTTGAAGATACAATGTAGTAATGTTACAGATGACACTCTGACAGCCGTGGCAACATCTTGTTTGTCACTGGAGTTGTTGGCTTTATACAGTTTCCAGCAATTCACAGACAAGTTAGTTACTTGCACTCTTCTCAGCTGATTTGTCTAAGCAACCTATAACTAAAGATGGTGTTGCCATTTTGGTTGTCATTTTAATACCTTCTTCTGGAATTATATTGGAGGTTTGCCATGGGTTTGTCCTCAAGAATCTGATTGCAAATTTAGGCCTGTCGGATAAAGTTTAAGCCAATATGCTTTATGTTGCAGGGGTTTGTGTGCTGTTGGAAAAGGGTGTAAAAAGCTGAAAAGTCTTACTTTAAGTGATTGCTATTTCCTGAGTGACAAGGGTCTAGAAGCTATTGCCACTGGTTGCACTGAGCTTACACATCTTGAAGTCAATGGCTGCCACAATATTGGAACCATTGGGCTTGAATCTGTTGGAAGATCTTGCCTGTATGATCCTCTTTCATTTAACTTGAAGTTGGTTATAGTTGTGTTGGGCGTGGCCATAGATTGGTAGATATCAAAGAATTCATTTAAGCTACATGATTTTTCTGCTTATGATCAGTATTATATTTTGATCCATTTTGATGCATTAACTTTTAGGAAGGCATTTCCCCCTAAACTTGTACAAATCCATTGAAGTTCACGGCTCTCTTTTTTTTTTTCTTTTTTTTTTTTAAGGAATTTATAATGTATTTGATAGTCAATTGTTTTGTTCTGTTATTCGGAACTTTTCTGATATTGTCAAGTAAAATGTATTGGTCATTTATCTTGATGATTAATGATCAGCATAATGGAGCAAACTGCATAGATTTTGTGTCAACGTGTAAAGTTCGCAAATTACATTTTTCTTGAAGTTGTCGAATTGTGTAAATTCTAAGGCTCTTGGCTTTTTGCAGGCACCTTACTGAGTTGGCTTTACTATATTGCCAAAGGATCAGTAATTGTGCTCTTTCTGAGGTTGGCAAGGGCTGTAAAAACCTGCAAGCTCTTCACTTGGTTGATTGCTCAAGTGTTGGTGATGATGCCATTTCCAATATAGGAAGAGGTTGCCAAAATCTAAAGAAACTTCACATCCGTAGATGCTACGAGGTCTGTCCTCTGATTTTGCTAGGTTTGCATAATCATTTGAAGATTTGTTCTTAGCATTTGTTTTAATTCATGCTAGCTTTTTGATTCCGTTGATGGTTGTCCTTCACTGGAAAAGTAGTTTTAGTTTGGCAAGGAAACAATGTGGTGGTTTATCATTTCTCTCGGATGTGACTCTTAGGTTCTGGACATTAAGAAATGTGATTTTGGTTTGAAACATTAGGACATAAGTGAAGGATCTTGAAGATGTTAAAAACAGAGAAATTGTTGCTGTTTAATGCTTCCTCTTCTGAGCGTGGATTATAAATCTTTTGACTTTTCATTTGGAACAGGTTGGGAATAAGGGAATCATAGCTGTTGGTGAGCATTGTCACTCTCTCACTGATCTTAGTCTTCGATTTTGTGATAGGTAACATTCTTTAATGTTTCCTCTCCTAGTTGGTTTTTCTGTCAATGCTGTGTCTGCCAGCTTTTAATATCTTTCAAGTGTCTGAGAAACATATTTGGTATCTTATCTGATATTCTCTACCTTCTCTCTTTCTCTTCTAGGGTGGGGGATGAGGCTCTCATTGCTATTGGTCAGGGCTGCTCCCTGCAGTATTTAAATGTCAGTGGCTGCATTCAAATTGGTGATGCTGGAATTGTAGCCATTGCAAGAGGATGTCCTCGACTAACTCAACTAGATGTTAGTGTTCTCCAGGTGTGTCCTCTCCTCCGCTTCACTAAACCACCTGTTTTTCTGCTCCTCCCAATTTCACGTGTAGATTGCTGAAGTCCTGTTTCATCTTATATTTATGGACTGGGGAAATTAGGCATGATTATGACTGGTTCTAATTAGTCCTTTTCTGACAGAATCTGGGGGATATGGCATTGGTTGAGTTAGGAGAAGGTTGCCCATTACTCAAAGATATAGTGCTCTCACATTGCCACCAAATAACAGATGTTGGTCTTTCCCATCTCGTTAAAAAGTGCACCATGCTCAAGTCCTGCCAAGCGGTTTATTGTCCTCGCATAACCACAGCTGGAGTTGCCACAGTGGTTTCAACTTGTCCCAACATGAAGAAGCTCCTGGTTGAGAAATGTAAAGTTAGCCCAAGGACTAGAAGAAGAGCAGGCTCGATCATCTCCTACCTCTGCGTAGAACTCTAGTCCGGACATCAAGCTATATATTGCAACTCCACAAGTTCTCTGCTCATTGTGTTTTGATACACAAAGTTGACGATCTGAAGGGAAACGTTGGAGCATTTCAGTACGTGTCTTTTTATTTATTTATTTGTTGTTTTTTTTTTTTTTTCCTTAGTCTAAGAATTAACAAATCCTCAATTTTATCAATGTTCTTCTTTGTTGTATTGTAGTTTTTTCAGTGATCGCATCCGAGTTAAAACCTTTCTTTTTTTAATTCAAGTTATGTGTTTGGGGAACACTTATTCCAGCAAGAATGACAATTTATTTACTGAGATCTAATTTTTCAGTTTAAACTCTAAATTAATTTAATTAATTTTTATTCTGATTTTTTTTTATAAGTAATTTGGTTTGATTTATGTTATATTCTTAATGAAGAGGTCTTCCACTTAAAAGTATATTTGGTTTGAGAACAGTTGGTGGCCTGTTTTTGTGCCTCATTTGGTACACATCAAGATCCCTTGCTTAAAATAAGTTGGTAAAATTTTTTAATAATTTTATCGAAAATTCTGTAAAGGACAAACCAAGATGATAGATTTAATTCTCTACCGAACAAAGGAAGAAAAATATAGAAATAATATAACAGTTTAAATCTTAGCAACAATTTCTCGATAAGGTTAAAATTATAAGAATTATGAATTTTACAGTGAATGGCGGAAGTTACAATTAAGAATTCTTTGTATAAATATGGACAACTTTACCAAAATATATGGATTTTAATGAGTATAACTCTGACTCATAATATAATACAATTTTATTGAATGGAAATGGGATCGTCTGAATTCAGGTTCAATTCTATTTGTGTGTGAATTTGCACATTGGAGTCAAAGGAAAAAGGAATGGGTAAGCCATGAGATGTGCATGCTTAGATAAGGATTGGTAAATGCTAAAGGTAATCATAAGGGGAAGACATTTAAGAATCTAATGTTGTTGCCCTAATCACTACCATATATTAAAAACCAGGATTAAGAGCTCCAAAGTTGTTGGCAGTGCGTCTCTTTTGGTCCACTTTGCTCCTCTTATTCTGATTGGGGAAAGTGAGGATTAGAGGTAGTGGAGAGCTTTTTCAGCCCAAGAGATTTGCATTTGCCTACAGAAGGAAATGTTGAAAAGTTAAGGTTAACAAGATAGTCCCAACTTTTGAAGAGGGCAGAGGGTTTGGAGCAGAGGGAACATGATGTCCTCCATGTTTTCATATCCATGCCTGAACCCTCTGCAGCATCAATTCCATCAAACAAAAAGGGGTTTTTTTTTATTCTGTTTATCTCTCTCAATTTCATGAAATCTCTTGAAAGTCTCTCCATTGCAGAAGCTGCAGAAGAGAATCCTCTTCCTATTGGCCCCACTTGCTGCTTTTACAGTGCTTCTCTTTGGGGTTGGTCCGACTTCGACACACCCAAAAACCTAAGAATGACACCATGTTTATGTCACTCCCACTACAATCAAATTGGGCACTTCTAGTTCCACCCACCAAACCAAATTAGGATCATGATAGGAATTAGCATGAAATTTCAAAACTTTTTTCAAGATTGCTTTAATACAAGACATGGTTTTATTTTGGCCTTTGGAGCTGAGCATGATTGATAAGCAAGAAATTTGGAGCTTTTTTACAAGATTGTTTCTAGACAAGACAATTTTGAATCTGGTACCAAATCTTCATCTGGGTTTTCTTAGTTTATCCTAAAAATATTTAGAAACTTCAGTTCACTTGACAACAGTATAACTCTGGTTATTGCCACAGGAAAAATTGTTAAGACACACAAACAGTTTCTTTTATGTTATTAAATTACTATCTTACCCTTCATCACTTTTGTTAGTTTTGTCTTTTTCCTAACACGTGTGGATAAGATAGTAATTTAAATTTGACCCTAACAATCTGTGTGGCAACAACCGGAGCCCAACAGTGTTGCAAAAACAGAGCAACATCAGAGGTGGGAATTGCAACAGGGCATGATTGGGGTGGGACAGGACATGAACAGAAAACTTGAAGGATACGGGAAAGGGGACGAATAAGACAGCAGAGACACAGACTGAACGGTAGAAGTGTAAAGGCAATGGTCACCACTCTCCATAGGTCACACTCAACACAGTAAAATGATGCTTGCGTGGAACAATGAATTCAAACAGGGGATTCTCTGCTATTCCCTTTTGTTTTATTGGGTTCATTAACATTACTTCAATTTTTATTTTGCAAAGATGAGCACGAGGAATGATGTAGATTGTGGCGTGTTTGGTGTTGTAATGTTTTTCTTGATGCATTGAGGATGGATGGATTTTGTGCTCAATCTGTTTCCTGGGGCTCGAGGCATGAATCTTTACTCATTTTCGTGTGGGTGTGTGGGAGAGAGAAAAGAGAGAAAAGAGAGAAAAAGGGGTTGGGTTTTTTTGTGACTTTTGTGGGAGCAACTGAAGGATTATGGTAACTTAAAAGCTACCCTTACCCTTAACATAGCTTGTTTACCTAAAAAATCTTGGCACCTAGGAGGTATGATTCTTGTGGGAGCCATCCAACTAGTTTTGGGGCAATTTTCAACATGATTTAGGATGGAAGCCTACCCTTGGTGACCACTTCTTATCCATTCTTACCCGAAGTCTAATTCAAAAAAGGCTTGAGCTTTGATGGTATACACCTCACTTGGCAAGTCTATATGTATGTTTTTTGGATGTAAAATCAACAATTAGGTCTTAGTTTTCCTTAAAAAAAAAAAAGAAAGGGGCTTATTTAATTGATCCATTTCCCACTTTACCAAACCAATATTCAAAAAAGCTTTGAGATTAATACCATAAAAAGATACTAAGCTTTGATATTGTTCTTTTTATTTGCCAAACTATTTAGTATTTTGTATATTCGATCTACAACTAAGTATTATTTAATGATCAATAGTATTAAGATAGTAATTGAAATTTGATTTCTTGAAAATATCAATAGAAATATAATTCTCTATAAATTTTTTAATTTTATATGCATAATTTGTATTTAACTAAATCATAGATGTATAAGTATTATTTAATTTTTTCCACTAATAAACTTTGGCTTGCATTAGTTTATGTTATTTTATGTGGTAAATTACCTTCAATCTTTTGTTTTAATTAAAGGCAAGCTATCTTCATCTAAATTAAAACCTTTTAAAATTAAACTTTTGTTAAGAAAATTAGTAGAATGTAAACCCTTTTATCGACCATACTAATCATTAGGATTTAGGCCTTATTTTATAAACCCATAAGCACAAACCCCTAAAAGTACCATGATGCTATAATTCTTAAACGAGATTTTGTGTTTTGATACCCTTTAGAAAATAAATTCAAACTTGAATTTTGGTTAGTGATATGAGTCAGCATGTAACCCCATCAAATTCAACTTGTTTATATTATAGGGAGGAAAGGGACAAGACCAATAGGATTAACAGCACCCAAAGCCACAGCTTGGGCAAATAAAGCACCCCATGACATGAACCAAAGAAAAAGCCTTGATAGTGATATAACATATAATTCCCACAAAAAAGAACCCAAAATCTATCCCAAGTGGCTTTATCCAAAGATAAAAAGAACAAACCATGGTGGCATGTGGGCCTATTGTACAATTTCTACTGAGAATTTGTGCTCCTGGCACAGTAGCACAGAGGAAAAGCTCATTCATTTGTGTTTCAAAACCCCCAAAATTACCAATTTCAATATTACGGGCTTTTTTTTTTCCATCTTATTTTATCCCACATGTGTGCTAAAATGTGCGTATGCAAGCATGTATGGCGGCTCAAGGCAGTCCATGTTCATGCCCAGAAAATGTGTATGTGTCTCCCAAGTCATGGACCCAGTAGGGTCACTCTTGTCTCGAGAAACAAAATGAAGAACAGGATCAAAGGCTCAACTTTGTGTGCCGAGAAGTTAGGGCACACACACTAGATGATGTGTAGTTGCAATAGGACCAGGCCAAGGTGGTTGTCGGGACATGAGCACCATTTTGAACTTGATGTAGTGGGACTAATCAAGGAGCTTTAAAAAGGCTGCATGATTTGGGATCATTGCTAGGGTTTTAAAAAGGTGATTTGTGGGATCAAAATTCGGATTAGAACTAACTCTCCATGTTCATCAATCTTTTTGTATTTTCTTCCTCTATTTTCAAGATCCTCTCCTTTCTCCCCTTTACATTTTTTTTTTTCTTTTCACTTTCGTTTTTGGGTTTTTGTTTTGTCTATCATATTTTTCTTTTTTATGTGATGTGGTGTTTCAATTAATTGTATTATATTGAACTTATTTTATTTTATTGCCCCCTCTCAATTATTGATAGACAATATATATAGACTATTTTTGAGATGTTGAATTGAAATTTACTAATGATTTGATTTTGGTTATATTATGGTGTGAAGTGGTTTGACTCATTTTTTGGTTGTTCGTCTCGTATGAGGAAGACACAAGGAGATTTAGGTTTTTTATAGTGAGTTTGGTGGGTGCGCATGCAGAAGCAGAAGAAATGGGATTGTGGTCATAATGGAGGCTGCTTGCCAGCCTAACCCCTGCAAGATTATTCATCACAAGCATACATTACATTTTCAAGAATCATTCCTTTGCTCCTTTCCCCCTCAAAAGACTCCAAATTTTAATTCTAAAACTCACCATTTTCCACCTCCGCTTTTCTACCCTTTTGCCTTTCTCACTTCTATTCTCCCATCTTCCTGTCTAGTCTTTATGCGTACTTTCAAGGTCCTGATTGATTTTGTTGACTTGTTATTGTAAATTTGTAATCTTGAATCAAAAGTCAAGAAGAATGACAAGTCAACAACAAGAACCAAAAAGGGATCGAAACAGCCCCTGTCTATGATAATAATCTTTCCTTGAAAATATGGAAAAGCAAAAGATTATACAATAAAATGATGATTAATGGCATAATTTAACCTTTTCAGGGATTGATAGCTGTCTTAAAAGATAGAAACAGCCCCTGTTTGAAACAGGGGATGTGGGCTGAGATTAAATAGAGTTTGGTGAAGATTGAAGAGAAAAAATGATGATTTTGTCTAGAGACACCAATATGGAAATTTTCAAAGGCAGAAAGAATAAATGATGTGGGTATTGCCTTTCATTTTCATGTAAGGGGCCTCCCCTAATTCAAGGATATTTTCATTATTTACTCACCACGCCTGATACCTCATGTTTTTTTGTATTCTGTTTTCCCTGCTCTGCCTCCATAATCATCATTATTTCCCCTGTAATATTGATGATATTTGAGCCCATCTGGCTTCTCTAAAATAAGTATCTCACCACTATAATCTTTGAACAAGAGAATGCTGTCCGTGGTAACTTGTTTCTTCCCATAAACAATAAGAGCCTTCCATATTATGGTTATAGCTTGTAAAAGAAAAAAGAATTAAAGAATGTAACACATGTCTTATCGGTTAGTATCTTTATCATCGACAATAAAATACTCTAATTATTATCTATTTGTGTTCTAATCATTTTTTGACTTGTTACATTTTGTCAGATATATAATGTGATACTTCAAACAAAATCCCTAAAAACATGGTAGGATTTAAGTGTGTGATTGGTTTCAATTTTGTTTGGTTTCCCTGTTCCTACTTGAGAACATCTATAAACGGCAAATTAAGTTCTCTAGTCATATCTAGAGATCTTATTACAATGTTGCTGATGATTGTTGTCTTCTAAAGAAACATTTTTGGTCTGTCATATGATTGTGTTTTTTGTGTTCCATAAAACCTAGTCATGCCAATGTGTTAAGATTATGAGAGTTCTCTGTTTTGATTTTGACCAAGAAAAAAGGACTTAAGTTTGCTCTTTTTCAATGGAACTTCGGCTGTTTCACAAAATTTTAAATTAAAAAGAAGCCATATCCCCAAAAGTTTCCAATGATTTGATCAAACCCATTGCTGAAAACCCTAATTGTTCAACTTTGTTACCACTGTATCAAACCAATCGTCCAAAAAAACAAAACACAAACCTGGATGAAACCAAGTTCAGTCAAGATTTTGTTTGGTTTTATCAAACCAAGAGATTATTGGGTATACAAGATTTGATTTTCTCTTTCCAATAACAATCATAATGGTCTGTTTTGAGTCTTTGACCTACAAAAATGAACTCCATTTTTATTAGAACTCCCACTGTTTCACTATTACTTTAATTAAAAGAAACAATACCTACCTAGAGTTTCAAATGATTTGATCAAATCTCATGCTGAAATAAACTGTTCCAAACCCAATTTGGTCAAGATAAAAACATAAAGAGATTAACAGCTATTCAAAGATTTGTATTTTATCACATTCAAAGATTTGTTTTTTAATATCTCTTTCATAGAACCAAATTTGTTCTTTACCTTTTGTCTTTTGGCTTCTTCTAGTGTTTATGGGTTCTCTACTCATTGAGTAAGTAATGGAAGAAATAGTGATTGGAAACTGACACACACTAGACTATATGCAGATAAGTGCATGATAAGGAGCCTGAAATTGCATGCGCGTGGGCATAAATTCCCATCCCTTGTTCCCAAAATTTTCCTTCGTTTTCTTTTCAAACAAACACCATACCTATCATCATCTTCTTCATTTCATTATGCCTGCAATCATGATTCTTGGTTGCCTCACCCGCATGCCCCTTCTTCCCCTTTCTCTCACCTTCTTTCTTTCCCCTCTCCCTCCCAACTCCCACCTATAAGTCCCTTCTCCATCCCACCTCACTCTCTCATCTGTAATCCCTCCATTTCCCTCAAAGTTTCAGTCTTTTTCAACTTCCTCTGTTTCGGGTTTCAATGGCGGTTTCTGGGTTTGAAGGTTTTGAGAAGCGTTTGGAGCTCCATTTCTTTGGAGATGACCCGGTGAAAATGGGTCTCCGGTTGATGGATTTCGGGTCATTAGAGGAAGTATTGCATGCGGTGCAGTGTACTGTAGTCTCTGCTGTGGGGAACCGTTTCTTTGATGCTTATGTGTTATCAGAATCAAGCCTCTTCGTCTACCCCACCAAGATCATCATCAAAACCTGTGGGACCACCCAGCTCTTGAAATCCATCCGTCCGTTGATCCATCACGCCCGGAATCTTGGGCTCACCTTGTGCGGGTGTAGGTACACCCGTGGCAGCTTCATCTTCCCCAAGTCGCAGCCTTTCCCCCACACCAGTTTCAAGGAAGAAGTAAATTACATTGAAGAGAATATCCCCGCCCACCTCTGCTTCCGTAAAGCCGCCGTCATGCCGTCGAAGCTCCCGTCGCATTCCTGGCACGTCTTCTCTGCCGGCGACGAAACCCATCACTCCCTCGATGTGCCGTACACCGTGGAGGTCTGTATGACAGAGCTAGACCCGGTTCTCGCCCGGAAGTTCTTCCGACGACCCGCGGATGGGAAGAACGGAGATTCGGCGGGAAAAGAAATGACCCATATCACCGGCATTGACAACATTAATCCGGGCTCAATCATCTGCGATTTCGCGTTCGACCCGTGCGGATACTCCATGAACGGCATTGACTGTGATCGGTATTCCACGATTCACGTCACACCAGAGGACGGCTACAGCTACGCCAGCTTCGAGTGCGTGGGGTCGGTTTACGAAGACAACGACGACGACATCGTCCAGGTTTTAAAGAAGGCGGTTCAAGTTTTCCGGCCATCGACCGTGTCGGTCTCGACGACGGCCACCAACCACGAAATCTGGACTCGGGTGGCCCGCGCCATGGAGCCGCTGGGATTGAAATGCAGGAGCTGCACAATGGACGAGTTTCCAGCTGCCGGGAGCATCGTGTTTCAGACATTCACTGCTCGCCGGAAATGAGCCGGAGATAAAAAAACGACGATCACGGAGGTAGATAATCGGGGAGGGGCAGGGGTTAAAATTAAAATTAAAATTAAACAGTTTAAAAAAAAAAAGATAATAATAATTAGGGGGGGAAAATTAAAAGTAGGGGAATTTTTAAGGTGACGACTGACGAGGACGAGATGATGACGTGGGAGGATGTAATTGGTTATAAGGGTGATGAATGTGGGGGTTAGAATGGTAAAAAGAGTGGGTGATGTGGCAGCATCATAAAATTGGGATGATCATGATAATGCACCCCACTCAAATATGTCACGCCTAAGATTTTTGAAGTTTATGTAGTGGATAGATTTGCAAGTGGAAAAAAAAAAAGTGTTGCGTAGTTCAGATTGCATTGGATTGGATTGTACATTTTAAATGTTTTTACTTTTGATTTTTGATTTTTTGTTGTGTTTTTATTTTTATTTTTTTGAAGTTTATATGAATTTTTCTCTTTGTTTCATTTTGTTCATTTTTTTTTGTTGCTTGGGTTTTTGGGTAAAATTCTACTTTCTTTGATTTTGTCTTAAAATTATTGTGACTTTTATTTAATATATTATTTTGCACATTAATTAGTGATTTATTAAAATTTATCAAAGTAATTTTATTTTTCATTTGATATATACAATTATCGAGGAAGGCTTCACCAAGGCAATCTTCATTGATGTGAGATATAATATTGCATTATTTTTGCCCATGTCTAATGGTGGCTTTCAGTAACGTGCATGCACGTTGCTGTTATTCAGCCTTTTGGTAGTGGTAAATGGATAAGTTATGTGTCTATTTATATTATACTTGAGAAATAAATAAAAGGTTAAGAAAGATTTTTATGATAAGATAATAATTAAAATAGAAAAAAAATGTGTTTATCTGAAAAATGAAAATAATAACAATTGAAACAAATTTAAAGTAAAAAAACTATAGTTATTTTGAGACAAAAATAATGAAATTTTTTAAGCAAAGAGTACTACTATTTATCATATTTATAAATAGATTAAAGTAATAGGATAAATTGAAATAATAACATTTAAGTTTTATATAAGTAGAAAGTATGTCAACTAAGTTAAAAGGCTCAAATTTAGTAAGTAAAACACTTAAACTGAAGTTAATAATCTAAATAATTAAGTGATAATTCTTTTTGTGTGAAAAAAAAGAACTTAAATTCGAATTACATATCATATAAAAAATGTGAGATTAAAAGATGAAACAGAATTATTTTTTTTTGTGTAATCTAATATATATATATATATAACCAAAGTTGAAGAGTAGTATAATAAATGCAATTATCTTTTTTTATAAAAAGAAAAATTCAAAGTACACTTTTCAATTGTTTTTCTTCTTATTAGGGTTTTAGTAAACTAATGAAGTTAGCACTATAGATGGATGGTTAGTATTGGCTAATTTGCATGGAACTTTTTAAGAAGAAAAAAATTAATTCATTCTTCATTTCCATAATTATAATGATTATGTACTCGATGTGGAAGCCACCATAATGCAATTATTTTTGGCCGTCCACCATAATGCAATTTAAAATGGTGTTTTAACTCTTTACGTAACATAATATGCATGTATATTTAGCGTTTAACATATGTGTGGAACTCCCAACATCATTATAATTCAGATGCTTAATTAACTTGCTCTAACCCAGTGAATAGCCCCAATTTTTATATAAAATTTCAGTTTGTATATATGTTTTGGTCCTAGTTCGTTGCGTAGTTGTATTTACAATATGAATTTTAAGAATGTTTTGATACTTTTTTTGAAAAATTATTTAAATATTGTTTTGAAACTTGATAGGATGCTTAAATGGTATCTTTTTTTTTTTTTCTTCTTAACGGTTAAAAACAACAACAAAAAATGGTATTATTTTGACACAAAAGACTTACATTTGAGTTTTCCTCCTCTTTCTTTTTTTGTTTTTTTATTTTTTTATTTATTTTCACCATCAATTTATCTATATATATACTTTAAAATTAATTTCTCTTCAACTGAAGATCATCAAAATGCAACTCTCAAGTATTAATCTTAAATTAGTGCATTTAAAAAAATTAATTTTTTTAAGTATATATTAATCTTAAAATTTGAGCCTCATAATAATATAATTCAATAAAAAAATAATGTGTGCACACCCGGATCCCACACCCGGATGTGCATCAATCATGATCTAATTCAATAATATCATCCTACGATATTTGGGTGCCAATGCCATCACAAACCTAGAGCTATGCATCTTTATTTGAGCCTTAAAATATCATCCAAAATATTTTAGGATTTGAATGGTATCACAAACGTAAACAATATATTTGGATTAAAGGGAATGTGGAAGGAGGAGAAATTTTTTTTATATTTAATTATAAAAAAATTAAAGAGAAGGGGAGAGGAAAATTTCTTTATTTTATTTTTCTTTTAATTTACTTATTTATCTATATAAAGAGAAAAAAAGGGAAGAAAATGAAATAACATGAAATGATATAATATAATTCTCCTCTCCTCCCCTCCCCTCCCCTCTCTTTGTCCAAATATAAGGAAAAGGTAGAGTTAGAGGCGACC